ACGTAACACAAGGTACATTGTAGATCTATTGTACCGAATCATGTACGTGCTCGTGAACCTACCATACCTTCACCCATTCAGAACCTTTACACGTGGGTACTCTCTCCGACTTGTTAAGCCATTCTGTGGAACAGATACGTACAGACATTCCTTCTTTTCCTCTGGGATCAGACTATGGAACCAGTTACCAGAGCACATTGCCACTGCCAGGTTATTCAAGACCTTCAAGGCGGAGCTCCCAAGCATCTACTATAGAACTCACTGCCGTCTTTATTCTGTTTTTAACCTGAACCTACGTTTGCAGCATAAATGCTGTACATTAATGCACAAAGTGTGACAATGCTCCAGAGAGGGTCCTGCAACTATATACATTGTATGGAAGGAAAAGATATAACTGTTTATAAGAAAATTGGACATTTTCACAGATTTTAATCAGAATAAACGGGCGAAATATTCGATGATCTCAGTATCAGGCCCATAATAGCTAATAAGAACGGATTTGTGGAATGTTCTGTTAGGGAAGTATAGTAAAGGAACAGATGGTTAGTAATATTTGAGATGGCACCTTATAAATCGAGAAACGTGTGACCTTTTTTGTGCGGATGAGTGAACCTGTGTTGTAGCTTTCTGGTCGTCCACCCCACTTTTTTAAGACCAGCGAGCTACACATCTGCAGCTAACTAGTATAATAGTAATAGGGATTTTTTTAGCTTTCTCTAGTTTCTTCGATAAAATTTAATATCACAACTCCCTATGGCCTGAAGAAGAATGCTATCGATTCTGAGGCCAAAAGGTCAGAGGTCAAGGTCATAGATTCATACGCTCTGTCTGTGTAACACTGTTTCTCAAACTATATCTTAAAAAGCCTTTGCGATTTTGTTTAAATGTCAAAGTAAACCGTCAAGTGCAAAAGTCAGTGCTTCTCGCAAAAGTCCAATGGTCAGACGGACAAGTTGGTTCCTTGTAATGACCAATCCACCACCACCCCTTCAAAAATAGTTTTCGTTAGAATTTATATTTTTCATTTTACTATAAAATGTGTAGTATAACAAAAAATCGGAACGAAGGGATTAGAGAGTGTATCAAAATTAACGATTGTTTTCATGACAATCAAAGTTTGGTTAAATAACAACAGAACCTAGATTTTCAGGTTTGAAGATATACGTTTTTTAAAAGATGGTTTTCATGGCAACGGAATGTCTGATCAATTTAATATAAAGGTTGGTTAAATGACAATAGATGCCAGATTTTCAGGTCTGAAGGTATGTGTTTTTGACGACGGTTTCCATGGCAACGGAATGCCTGAACAAATTAAAAAATATTTTTTAGTAACACACTTGCCTTATCACTCCCCATAGTAAATAAAAACATTTTCTGAATGGGGGCCTAAAATGGCCCAAACCATATATAATTCTTTATATCACAACTCCCCATGACCTTCAAAAAACATATTGATTTTGAGGTCAAAAGGTAGGTCAATGTCAGGATTATATTTATTGCATATATAGTTTTCAGAAAAATAATTTAAGCCTTTGCAATGAAACTTTGGGTCATGAATTTCTTATGTTTAAAAAGACTCGACTCCTATTGACTTTAAGGCCAAAAGCAGAAACGTCAAGGTTGACCTTTTTTTATTTCTCCAATCGCAAATACCGTTCACGGTGGCTCAGTCGTTAGAACGCTCGCTCCGTGATCGGGAGGTCGTGAGTTCGAATCTCGGCCGCGACTGACCTAAGTCGATAAAAATAGGTAGCAACTGTTCCTTCGCCATGTGCTCGGCGCTTTGAAGTGAAAGTTGCGGGTCCTTCGGATGAGACCTTAAAAACCGAGGCCCCGTGTCACGGCAGGATAAAGATCCCTCACTGCTCAATGGCCCTGAGTGCCGAGTAAAGGTCAAAATTTGAAGCCTTTCACCGGTCGATTGGGATGTAAAACACCATACAATCAATTAATCTATCCGCAATTTTTTTCCAGTTCTTCCACCCTCTTCTTTTTATGCCTCCGTATCAAAGATTCTGGGGTATATGGTTTTTGCCCTGTCCGTCCGTCTGTCTGTCTGTTTGTTTGTCCGCAAAAACTTTAACATTGCTCATAACTTTTGATTGGTTGGAGCTTTGGCTTTCATATTTCACATGTGTATTTTTTTTGACAAGACCTTTCTTTGGGTACCATCATATTTGACCTTGACGTTTGACCCAGTTTGACCAACTTTAACCTTGGCCAAATTTTTTCCAACTTGAGCCTTGGCCATAACTTTTGAACGGTTAGTGCTATGGCTTTCATACTTCACATGTGTAATCCTTGTGACAAAACCTTCCTTTGGATACCAACAACTTTGACCCTTTGACCTTGGAGTTTGACCTACTTTTGAAAAACTTTTACATTGGCTATAACTTTTGAACGGTTAATACTAGGGCTTTCATACTTCACATGTGTAATCTTTGTGACAAGACCTTCCTTTGGATACCAACAACTTTGACCTTGACCTACGAGTTTGACCTACTTTTGAAAAATTTTAACATTGGCCATGATATCTTTTGAACGGTTGGTGCTAGGGCTTTCATTCTTCAGATATGTAATCCTTGTGACAAGACCTTTCTTTAGATACCAACAATTATAGCCCATTGACCTTGACCTTGGAGTTTGGCCTACTTTTAAAAGACTTTAACCTTGGCCATTTCTTTTGAACAGTTGGTTCTAGGGCTTTCATACTTCACATTTGCAATCCTTTTGACAAGACCTTACTTAGGATACCAACAACTTTGACCCTTTGACCGTGACTTTGGAGTTTGACCTACTTTTGAAAAAAAATTAACCTTGGCCATATCTTCTGAACGATTGGTGCAAGGGCTGTCATATTTCACATGTGTATTTCTTGTGAGAAGGCCTTTCCTTGGGCACCATTTATTTTTACCCTGACCTTGATGTTTGACTTACTTTTGAAAAACTTTAACCTTTTCCATATCTTTTCAATGGTTGCTGCTAGGGCTTTCATATTTCACAGGTATATTCCTCGGTACAAGACCTTACTTTGGGTACCAACATATTTGATTTGCATTTGAGAAAGTTTAACCTTTGCTATAAGTTGCCATACGGGGGCATCAGTGTTTCAAGCGAGGGACACCAATTCTCTTAATTTAGCTTGTTTTCTCTATATTTTACTGCGTAACATCCAGATAGCATACGTTTTGAGCATTTCTTTCGTATGTCACCTGACTTTTATTTTTTCTTTTAAATTAATTAGTAACTGATTGAAGACCTTTCTCATGTGATCACTATATATATATCGCACAAAGTCGGGTCATTACAGTGACATGTTGTAGTTTTTAAATTTCATAGAGTAAAATTTAATGTAGGTATAGAAATCATAACAAATACATGTTTGTTATAGTCAACTCCGCCGTAAATGACAAGTGAATGACGCTAACTCTGTAACGTCGAGATGAATTTTAATAGGGGCTACATGAAATTAAAGTGTAACGCTTGCACATCTATCGGAACACTCTCCTGGCCTTCTTCCTCAGCATACACACCACTACTCGTCGAAATGAGGATTCCTTCTCCTAACATGGTGTACATCATGAGGGACAAGCTTTAGATTTTTTTCGCAATAGACAAATAAAACAATAATACATTAATTTCAGATAACTATGAAATGGTACTAGTGACGAAACGGTTTGATATAAAATTCTTGCAGAAACACATGTGTGTCTCTATATAAACTAACATTCTAACATTTCATATATTTTGTATTAAGGTTAAATTGTTTTCTTTGCACAACATGACCATTTCAAGTAACTTGCGAGTGATTATATTTTACTGAAATGCATATTTTACGAGAAGAATATGTATAAAAAAGTTTTAAGGACAATCTAATTCCGCCTAATCCGGTGGCCTTTGGTGCTAGTGTTATTAGAAGATGTAATATCTGTTTCAGTCGTAAGCCATTAAAACAACATAGCGCGTATATACAGACATCGACGCATGTAGATATTTTTCTCTCCACTTAAACCTATTTAAAATTGTTCCTGTTTGCCGTTTTAAATGAACAACATCTGAAGCAATCTAGGTTAAAATCAGAACAGTGAGCGTTGGTTTGAACAACACAGTTATTGATATTTTTCTAACAATATTGCGGAGAAAATCGTTATATAAGAAAGAGTACCGATCATTTAGGTCGGGTACGCACGGGGAACAAAGAGACTTCACACCACTGACGACAAAATCTATACTTCCTAGCGGATACACATTATGCACATGAAATGACTCGACGAAAGCTGAGAGAAACTGCAGGTTGAGTGAATTTTTTTTTCATTAGCGAAGTAGTGTCATTGCGTCGCGTTCGGAGGGCCATTTTGGTTGTAATGGAGTGAAAATGATTGTCCAGAATTTGATATAAATTTGTGTTAATGACATTCTGACGCGCAGTGTAAAATGGAGGCGATGACAACTGACGGATCGTCAGAATAGCTAGGAGACAGGTGCGAGCGGGGAGATTATGTAGGAAAATCTATTGTCTTTGTGGAACACTAGAACGTCATGTGATTTCAACGGTTTATCGAACATAAGCACTCACTGCATCTGTATACTGAGTAGATGTAAAACTCTCGTGCACCTGGGCGGGTTGTCAAAGCGCGCGAACTGCTCGCGTGCAGATTGGACATTTACTTTAAAACATTTGTAAATAGGAAATAGGCGCATATGTATTATTAATGGAATTGTATATTGGGCAAGCGCACGGAGGAAAAATAACCAACGTTAAAATATACACCTATTCTTTCACATCGATCGAAAAGGCTGCAGGATTTAGCATAAATTAAATGATTGAAAGGGTCGCTACTCTTAAAAGAGGATATGTGACAAAATAAGAATTTTAGGAAAATCAAGACTTCAAAAAGGAACGTCGTTAAATGTAACGTACACATGGAAGTGTCTTCTAATTAACGTTATGTACGTCAAATACTTCAGGCTGCTACCAGTCATATTAAAACTCTGAACAGAAAATCCAGTTTTATAATTGATGGATGTTTTTCATAATTTGCAATGATATAGAGGAAAAATTTACCAGTAATTACAATCGCCTAAAGGTAAGCATAGAAAAAAACCTAGACGTTGATTCATTGATTTAGTTCAGATGTCTGAAATCACGATGTAAAATATTTGAAATCGTTAACAAAAGAAAGAGTGTGACATAAAATATACAAAACTAATATGGTTTTTCCGGGTTATTGATCAACACTGACGCTCTGAGATTCTCTCTTTTGTTTTAAGTGCCACACCGGATAGCAATTCCGGAATGTGTCTTTAAAAGCTCGGTGATTGATGTTACAAAATGTGAAATTGTCACCGTGCCGAGGCGAATGCCATCGGTTTTGAGACAAGATTACAATCAAAAGACGAAATTTCTATGAAAAAAAATGATTCTAGCGCTAATGACTGACTTATCAGTTTGGTTGACAACAGAGAGAGAAAAACAAGCGGGAATGCAGCGTAATTAATGACGCACTATCATTAACTCTCAATAAGTATGGATTTCACAAAATCAAGAGAAAGGAAACGTTAGGAAATACTGTAGGAGAAATCGATTAAAAGATGAAATAAAAGGAAGTTAATCGTTTGTTCTCATTTTAATCAAACTTGGATTACGTTATTATAAGGTTTCTTCTTGACAATATATGCTATCATGTATGACGTGTTAGAGGGACACATAGCTTCACACTGCAGCGTGTGCTGGCTTAATGATTCTCGGCATCAAATTTGTTGTAATTTCCCAAGAGCTTTATTAAACTGTATTACTTTCTGGGAATAATAGAGAAAAAAGCAAAGCAAATAAATTCACTTAGATATATACTTATTCTCAAATAAAAGTTATGGTAATACTTATAGTATTAATGGTATCCATGTTTCCTGCTCACGAAGAATATTTCAGTATTTTCTTTATTGCAGTAAAATCAGGTCGTGGTCATGCAGAAAGGCGTCCGATTCAACGAAACCCAACTGCAGTATTTGGCAGCCAAATCCCGCCGAGAAAATACTATTTCCGGCTACCTGCACAAGCGCAGCAGCGACACCGGAAAATGGCAACTTCGCTATTTTGTATTGTACCAAAACCTACTTTTTCACTTCGAAAGTGAATCAGCTCAAAAACTGTCTGGAGCAACCCTTCTGGAAGGTAGTTACTGTGAAAGAGTATTAAATCCGGCCGCATTAAAAGCCGTAAAAGACACCGAAAAACAGGTATGGGTTAGTGTCATATAAATAATGATAAGTATGTATATATGTAGTATATATGAAAAAAACAGTACATCTTTTTTGGTGGAAGTATGATAAGTGCTTGCAGATTTCATCTTGCTCTCAATATTAGTAATTCTGAAATGTAGACTTTTTCCGCCTTATAAATTAACTGAACGAGATTACAGGTATACATGGGGATTAATTTATAAAGAATTTGGATGTAATTAAACTATAATCATTAATACTGGTGAAATGGTAGAAGATTTACTTCAGCTTACATCAGTAAGGTACAGTACTTGTTTTTTTTCAGAGGGAGAGACTTGTTACATTGATCTTTAAAATAATGCATCTCAATCCTTCATTAGGTTTACACTCATAAGACACAAATCTGTTGCATATCCATGGATTTTACTTTAGTTTTTTCCCTGATATTTCACAATGGATTTAATGATATAAATGTAGATTCTGTGTATTGATCTTCGACAAGGAAAACCGAACTGCATGGTGTAAATGAAATCGCTTGTTTTTGCAAATTTAGTTTGATTTTCAAAATTGCAAAAAACAAGCGATTTCATTTACACCAAGACTGTAAAAAAAGAGTTTAACCAAAACTTGAGTACGTACACTTACGTCTTACCCAGGGTTGTAGCATAGTTAAGCAATGTTTTATCCGAGATTCAGAGGTTTTAATCAAATTATTTGCATGAATTCCAAGCTTAAAGAAGAAAGAGAATGCAAATCAATAGTCATAGATACAAGTGATTTAAAAAAAGACAGAAAAGAATTATGGGAGTGGATCTGATAATCAACAACGACATTGCTATATCCTATAAAATACGGATTCAGACGGAATATTTTTTTGTTTTGTTTTTTAGAGGGTAACTGCATATAAGGGTCTAAGGGAATTTAAATATGCAGGGTCGCCCTCAACAGTTCCACCATGAATGTTACTATAATAGTAACTGTTGAAATGCATTTCTTTGTTGAAAGGTCTCTAATTATGGCTAGAAAACAAAAAAAAAAGTTAGACGATGACTCTTGGACTTAGATTCTACGCTAACAAATCTTCAGCTTCTTTTCTTTAATGGATGAGAATGAAATTTCAATGCACCATAGAAACAACATCATACACAATCGACTGACCAGCGTGTATTTAATACAGAAATATTTTCATAAGATTAATAGAATTCGAAAAATTGATGACATAAAGAAGAAATAAGAAAAAATAATCAGAAAAAAGTCTTGGTCATGCTGTCTATTTACAACAATCAAGCAAAAGAGTAACAGAAACTCGACCTGGAACCCATGTCTTCTCAATAGAGAAAAGAACCCATGGTGAATAATGCAAAGTTGGCTATGACAAACGTATTTATACACAGATTGATGGTAAGACCTCCCTCTCATTGCACGTGTGGCCGTGTTTACAAGACTACAGTCTTTATAGGTAGATGTATTAAATGTAAATAAACAGGTAATGAGTATAAATCGTACAATCCTACAAGACAGGTGATTAACTACTTGTCGGATCGGACAGGAAAGTAGTTTCCGTCTTCAGCTTGTGTTGTTATTAAATCGATGTTTTCTCGTTAATCCGATGAATTTACCTGATGAATATTTCTGGTGAAGAAATGTAAACAGTTTTAGAATTCCTCGACCTCGAGGGTTAATCTTTAATAATTCCCAGAATGCTAGAATATTACCTCATTTCTGATACAGATCTTTATTCTTTAATATTTGTTACAGAACTATTTGCTTTTTTAAAAATATTATAGAAAAAAGGGCTTCTAATTCAAATCTGCAAATCTGAATGTATGCGAATTTCTTCGAAGGTGGGAACGGAAAAAATAAACTTGTGCAAATCGAACCTTTTAGAAATTTACAAAACACATGCTCTCGTTGTAAAAACGGTAACACAGGGCAACAATTGGGAATATTATTCTTAAGAAAAAAGGCCAACATCTTTCGTAAAAATAAATTCAAGTTTGTCCAAATTTAGTTCCTGCGGACAATTTATTTTTATCTAATTATTCATCCAAATTGAATAGTTATAATGATAAAATTACCACCAACGGAAGCGAAATACAGTATACAAAGTACATATATCAAGTAATTGTTGAATAGATGAAATATTTGAAGGAGTGACAAATCAATATATAGGAGTGACGGATTTGCTTTGTTTTTTTTTTCAATCTTGTTTTTTTTTTAAATTGTGTTTTTTGTTGTTGTTGTTTTTTGTTTGTTTGTTTGGTTTTTTGTTTTGTTTTTTGTTTTTGATTGGTAGGATCCAACATACCCATAAAAGACACTATTGATAGCGAAAGAGTTGTGTAATTTCATTTTTATCAAAAGTATATCGCATGCCTGCTGTTGGAACTTCAGACTGTGGTCGTGATGTAACTGCGATGCTACAAAAGGCTCTTAGCAGAATTAAACCTGATACTGTGCTATAAAGCTCAGCTTTTTGTCTCTGTTTGTCTGCAATTACTGATGTTGTTGTATCATTACAAATTCTTCATCATATTTTATCAAATCATTCAACTAATTTAGTTAGGTTGTGGTTTCGTCGCCTATGGTTTTCGTTTAAATACGTTAGGTTTAGCGAAAACTGATTGTATCGAAGGAAAGAATTTATAGTTAACTATAATCTTTATAACCAAATAGAAAGGAGACATTATTATCGAAGGCAAGCACCAAATGATTACATTTCACACTCTCTGTAAATCCCAGATGCTGTGTGGAAGACATATTGCAAAAGGCAGATTTGTACATACAATTCGTTTAAACATTACAAATGGAAATCTATGTATTCATTCAAGATAGTACATATAATACTTCGCTAAGATGACCATATGAAAATTTGGCGTCATTGCAAGTTTCATGTAGTGTCATTTTAAGTAGAAAGAGATTCAGCACCAGTACAAACACCTAAACTATTGTGGATTTTTTGTCTAAAGAATCACAATTGATCTTAACCACAATATTTGATTTTATTGGTTATTTTTGAATCAGCTCTGTTAAAGATCTGGTGAAGATTGTTTAAAACATGCAGAGGTTTAAAAAAAAAAATGAAATACTCAGTTGTATATAATCACAAGGCATACACTAATATATTCTCATTATACAACTCTTCAACATCCATTTTAGGAGAGAAAAAGGTATTGCTGACCACGTAAAAAGACCCATCTCTCTCTCTCTCTCTCTTATGCTATCCTGCTTTTAACAATCTTTAATTTAAAAAAGAAAATTAAATCTTGGGACTCGTATTGTTTTACTTTCAAAGAAGAAAATTACCCCCCAAATCTTGACTTTGCTGATATATGTGACTCTGCAGAATTTTTGTACTTGTTTATTAATCGATTACGTATTTTAGCAAATGAAATAACAAAATAATGGAGAGGTCCAGTAGGATGTTGGATATTTTTATGTGAAGTATAAACACACGAACTGTCTTCACGTTTAGACCACAAGACAAAATGACAGAAGTAGTTAACCACAGTAATTTCTGGTAAAACTTTTCTTTCAATAGAAACTAGAAAGCAATTTAAGCGTCTTCTCCACAAGTGTTTTAAGCAACACACCTCACTTATACGACAATTAATGGACATTCTTCTATCTCATACATTAAAATGTTAAAAGGGTTAAACTAACGAAACACGTCAAAATAACGAAGCTCTTATAATGGCTATCTTCGGTTAAGCAAAAGTCACATTAATAGGTTAAAATAATATGTTTTCTTTACTATTCGTACGAAGGGGAAAATCATTGATGGATCGACCAAAAAAAATGTTTAGGTGACGTTTCCAATGTCGTTTTATGTAGAGTTATCAGTCCGAATCTTCAGGATTTAACCATTGGTGGATTTGGAGGGGAATTAAACAATGGATACAGAATCTAAAGAGAGTAATAAAATTGTACAAACAGCTTTAATACTGCCTTTGGTTGAAAACCAGTTCTCACAACGGAAATTTGTGTTTTATTTAAGACAATTTTCCATAATGAATCTCTCCAGAACTTTTGTTAATATGTTTTTTGTTAAAACTATTTTTACAGTAAGTTTATTTATAAATGCTGACATACACAGCGGAATTTTGCATGATTTTCTTCTGCCATAAAATTTGTTTAGGTGTTAGTTCCCTGTCCTCAGGCTTTTAATTTTTTTTCTGAACTTGTTCGACCGCGCACTGTTTGGTCTTTTCAAATATTTGTCTAACATGACATTTCCTCTGGATTGACACTCTACGGAACGACTATATGTGTACTGTTACCACAACCTTACTGGATTTTACTGCCATTTTCTTCAGATTTCCCTCTTCTGTATTCTGGTTTGGTTTTTGCATAAGCTGTGCATTTTGTCTGAAGCGAAAAATTTTCACACCATAGCATCAGCCTATTTTAACAATTTAAAAACAGGTGGTAAAAGACAAGGAATAATTTACAATAATGAGCATTGACTTTAAAGTCTATATTGTAATCTTCAATTCTCAGACATTTTTATACTACAATCGACAAATGTGATTCTTCCCACGATATCAATTATGATACTTGCGTTCATTTGAAAAAAAGAGGCAGTGCAACACTGAGTAGTTTTCAATGGTCATATTACTAGTATATCGGCGAATTATATAAGCTGACGCAGTTACACAATGTAGTAACTCGAATCTTGAATTCACTGGGTATACTGACAAGATTTACACTTTGTATTCTCCAACATAGTAATCTGAATTTTTAGTGCATTGGGTATAGGCATTTACAAAAAATCTACAGTTGATTATTATAGTATATTTTGTATTTACCTCCACCCAGTACATCCATTTACAACACGGTAGTAATAAGAATACCAACATGTATCATGCAAATAGTGATAATATCGTAATTTTTGTATTTGTCTATTCCCAGTGAATTAAAAAATTGGATTTTTTTTTTTGGAAAACAAATTCTCGCTTCGTGTCTTGAATCCAGTTTTAATTCGATTCGTGTATTAGTAAATATAAACACTGATAAGG